CTCAGTACATGTGTTTCTTTAATATGTTAACAAAGGTCATTTCAAATTTCTGTTGCTATTAGTGACTTTGTTTTATGTAGTGCTAGCTGATAATAACTTTTCCTTCCCATCTGTTTGTCCCTTCAGGATCTTCACTCTGTATAGCAAGTCGCTGCCGTTGGACCTGGCGTGTCGAGTGTGGGATGTGTTCTGCAGAGATGGTGAAGAGTTCCTGTTCCGCACGGCTCTGGGATTGCTTCGCCTCTACCAGGATGTCCTGACCAGCATGGACTTCATCCACATGGCTCAGTTCCTCACCCGCCTGCCTGACCTCATCCCTGCCGACCAGCTCTTCCAGCACATTGCTGCTATTCACATGACCAGCCGCAACAGGAAGTGGGCACAGGTGGGATTTTTTTCTAGCTACTGTGCCTGAAAACATTGTTTACCCCCATCACTGCATCTTTGTTTTGAAAACCTTTTTTTCACTCCTGCTTCCTCCCCTCAGGTCTTGCAGGCGCTGACGGAGCAGAAGAGATCGGGAGCGAGGTTGCCCGGTGCTGAAGCGTTGAGCTGAGATCAGAACATAACCAGCTCAAGCTAAAGTACTCAATCAGACCCCCTCCAGCCTTTGGAAAAGCCTACACTCTTGCCCAAGCTGATGGACCTGAGAGAGATCTTCTGTCAGGTTGGGGACACGTCCAGTTGAGGCTGCAGTGATAAAGCTCTTCTCCAGAGCCATGCCACTCCTCCGACTGGAACCAGAACACTGGAGGGGGTCTCAGTGACTGAGCAGGGGTGTGAAAAAGGAATATGAGGCCTTATTTAACTTCCAGCACCCCTCCTCTGCTCAGAGGCCCAGCAGCAAACTGGAAACTTGTAGCTGGGAAAGGCTGAAGAATGTAACACACACTCCCACATGTATGAACCTACCCGACTGACTCAGTTCCCCAGAGACTGAAGGAAACCACAGAGATACCAGATACTACATCAACTCCTTCACTGCTGCCAGCTCTCAGATCCTTTCTGTTTGATTCGGCAAATGAAGCTTAAATGTGTCTACAGCAATGTTCATCTCTGTAGTCAAATCTGTAAACGACATAAATACGTGAGGGGGTTCCTAGCTGTCTCTGTGCGTCTCCTTCTGCGTAGCGGCACCTTTTTTTCCACTCACTTTAATTTTTCTCACATTCCTTTGTGTCCTCCATGTTTTTATTTCCTTTTGATCTGAGTTTGCTTTTCATTGGCTTGTAATCAGGACCAAATTGTCACCTTAGCTGTTCCATGAAGACAACTCTTCTGAACAGGGGGAGTTTTGTAGGTTATAATCCATGAAGGTATGACACAAATGCACATAAGAAAACGTGGTGTGTTTGAGAGCACCGCGTTACAGTTAATGAAATGTTTTAGTTCATTAGAAGAGGTCAGAAGCTGCCTGTGTCAGCGAGACTGGAATAAATGAGGTAAAGTGTTAGATGTGGATTTCCCCTGTATTTAATATATTTGTGGTACATTAATTTGCATTAATTGATTAGCTTTTGTTATGATTTCAGATGTGTTGGTGTGAGTGTGAAGTCTTTTGTTCATTTATTTAGTATATTTAAGAAAAGGATGGATTTGGTCCAGACAAATGAAGGGTTGTCGTTGAGCTTCTGGCTGCACATTTGGAGCACTTTTAATCTCTTTTTAAACACATTCTAGATTGCAGGCTGTAACTTGAGGGGCATTGCACGCATTTGGCTGCATAATTT